CTAACCCTAACCCTAACCCTAACCCTAACCCTAACCCTAACGGGTAACCCTAACCCTAACCCTAACCCTAACCCTAACCCTAACCCTAACCCTAACCCTAACCCTAACCCTAACCCTAACCCTAACCCTAACCCTAACCCTAACCCTAACCCTAACCCTAACCCTAACCCTAACCCTAACCCTAACCCTAACCCTAACCCTAACCCTAACCCTAACCCTAACCCTAACCCTAACCCTAACCCTAACCCTAACCCTAACCCTAACCTAAGCCTAACCCTAACCCTAACCCTAACCCTAACCCTAACCCTAACCCTGACCCTAACCCTAACCCTAACCCTAACCCTAACCCTAACCCTAACCCTAACCCTAACCCTAACCCTAACCCTAACCCTAACCCTAACCCTAACCCTAACCCTAACCCTGACCCTAACCCTAACCCTAACCCTAACCCTAACCCTAACCCTAACCCTAACCCTAACCCTAACCCTAACCCTAACCCTAACCCTAACCCTAACCCTAACCCTAACCCTAACCCTAACCCTAACCCTAACCCTAACCCTAACCCTAACCCTAACCCTAACCCTAACCCTAACCCTAACCCTAACCCTAACCCTAACCCTAACCCTAACCCTAACCCTAACCCTAACCCTAACCCTAACCCTAACCCTAACCCTAACCCTAACCCTAACCCTAACCCTAACCCTAACCCTAACCCTAACCCTAACCCTAACCCTAACCCTAACCCTAACCCTAACCCGAACCCTAACCCTAACCCTAACCCTAACCCTAACCCTAACCCTAACCCTAACCCTAACCCTAACCCTAACCCTAACCCTAACCCTAACCCTAACCCTAACCCTAACCCTAACCCTAACCCTAACCCTAACCCTAACCCTAACCCTAACCCTAACCCTAACCCTAACCCTAGGGTAACCCTAACCCTAACCCTAACCCTAACCCTAAGCCTAACCCTAACCCTAACCCTAACCCCTAACCCTAACCCTAACCCTAACCCTAACCCTAACCCTAACCCTAACCCTAACCCTAACCCTAACCCTAACCCTAACCCTAACCCTAACCCTAACCCTAACCCTAACCTTAACCCTAACCCTAACCCTAACCCTAACCCTAACCCTAACCCTAACCCTAACCCTAACCCTAACCCTAACCCTAACCCTAACCCTAACCCTAACCCTAACCCTAACCCTAACCCTAACCCTAACCCTAACCCTAACCCTAACCCTAACCCTAACCCTAACCCTAACCCTAACCCTAACCCTAACCCTAACCCTAACCCTAACCCTAACCCTAACCCTAACCCTAACCCTAACCCTAACCCTAACCCTAACCCTAACCCTAACCCTAACCCTAACCCTAACCCTAACCCTAACCCTAGCCCTAACCCTAACCCTAACCCTAGCTCGACAGCCATAGTCCTATCCCTAACCCTAGCTCGACAGCCATAGCCCTAACCCTAACCCTAGCTCGACAGCCATAGCCCTAACCCTAACCCTAGCTCGACAGCCATAGTCCTATCCCTAACCCTAGCTCGACAGCCATAGCCCTAACCCTAACCCTAGCTCGACAGCCTAGCCCTAACCCTAACCCTAGCTCGACAGCCGTAGCCCTAACCCTAACCCTAGCTCGCGTGGTTGCCAACATAAGGCCAGCGACCATGCGACCAAAAACCCTATATGGTCGCCAACATGGTCACCACGGTCACGACCACTCTGGTCGCGCTATAAACGTAGCCCCCACCCCTTGGCGCTCCCGCTTGGCGGCTCATTTCTTTTTAAATTGTCAGAACAGATTGTCAGAACAGCGAACTTGGACTCGAAGTTGAAAGTTGAAGTTTGTGTCAGAACGGGACCAAGTTTGTGTCAGAACAGGGCCTACGCCTCAACGTGAGAGTGTCGCCTTGGCGCTTGGGAGGACGTGCTGGGTGTGTGTTGATTGAGTCCGTCCGTGGCTCGGAGGGAGACTTCAAGACAGGAAGAGGGAAGGAGCGGGGCAACTGGGAATGTCAGAGCCCCTGAGCTGTGAAGAGAGGGGAGGATTTTGCGCTGTCAGAACGTTGTCAGAACGTTGTCAGAACACTGTCAGAACGCTGTCAGAACGCTGTCAGAACGGCCAGGTCTCTGTCAGAACATCTGCGGGAGCTCCACAAACCAGGTTGCTCTCCGACATGAGGCGCGTTGCACTTGCCAGTGCTGCCCTGGCCTTCCGTCTGCCCGCCCAATGGGTGGCAGGTGCCTCTGCTGCTGTGGCATGCCTCACGGCTGCGACTGGCCGGCGCCTCGGCGCGTCAGCTCGGCTCGGCGTAGCGATAGTGGCCAGCGCAACTCGCCTGGACTCAACGCTCAGCCAGGAGCTCCCGCACGCGCTGGCGCGAGTCATGGCGCATGCAACGCGTCTGAATGCTCGCCTCGCCTCGCGCAAATGCGACCGTCCTCGCAGCCGACAGTCCACCGCCTGCTAAAGGAGCACTGCGACGAATGCGGCACCGGCGACGCATGGCAGGCTGGTCATGACGCAGTTATAGGGTGTTGTGTGCCGTCAGAGTGACTCTCTGTGTGTCAGGGATAGTCAGGGCCGTCCATCAGAGCTCCAGTAAGCTCGGAGACACCCCATTAGTGCGACTCGACCTCTTTGAGTCACTGCCTTCCCGGCGGTTTTGCTGTAGAGCCTCTACAACAAGCTCTACAACAAAATCGCGCTCTACATCGCTCTACAACGCACCCGCTTCGTCCCGCGGCGGATGTAGAGCTCTACAGCTCTACAGCGCTCTACATCTCTACATCTCTACAGCGCTCTACACTCTACATCTCTACACCCTCCCTCAGGATATAACCACCTTTGTCATATTATGGAAGTGTAAAATCATGGGCCGGACCCATGATTTCATGCCACCGAGAAATCTGTGATGGATACACTTCTTTTCATTCGCCTTCGTACCGAGACTACAAAGCGCAGCGCAGCACGGTTAATACTCTCGGCTCTCTCGCGGATCTCACGGCTCGCACGCTCAGGCGACAGGTGCCGACACTCTCGCGGAATACAACCGGCTGGAGAATTGTGTTGCTGTGCCTGCGCAGTACGGGCGCCATCTCCATTAGTCTCGACCCCCCCCCCCCCCCCAAAAAAAAA